TGTTCCCATAGATTAATGCATCTTTCAACTCTCTTCAGAGAAGGTTCCTCATTCCCACAGATGGCTTTTAACCCAGAGACACACAAGTCAACACCCAGAGAAGAAGAAGCTGCAGAGTTCTTATCTCTGAATAGTACACCTATGTAAAATCTCTGTCACCCAAGGCCCAGGGATCACTGTGGAAGAGAGGATAAAATGATTGTAAGAGCCAGAGGTGGTATATTACCACAAGGAAACAGTTTTCCAGATCATGTGGCAGATACTCATAAGAGCTCAAAGCAAAGGGATAGCACGCAAAATCCTAGCATAGAGGTGAGGACAGGGATAAGAAGCCCCCAAAGTAGCCGAGGAATTATTTGCAACTGATAGCTGCTGGGTGAGGGACAATCAATTTTCTTTAAAGATGTGATTCTTTGTAGGTTAACCAGCTCCCGTGGAAGGGCCCACATTGAAGGATGTTTGGGGACATACTTTTGGTTCAATAGGCCTTTATCTATAAACAGTACATAGAATTGGGAGGGGGGTACCAAAAGAGGGTATGTGGATAGGGGAAGAGGTCTAAATATGATCAATATATTGTATGGTTTTAAAAATTCAATAAAAATGAAAACAATCATTTTGTCTCCCTCTCTCTTTTTATTTTTTGGCATCTGTCACAACATGATCATCTCCTACTGATGTCAGGTTAGTTAAAGGAAAAAGCCTTTAGAGTCATCCTCTCCTCTCTACAGGGCCCACAAATACGCACAAATAAAAGACTCACCAATTCATCCAGGAGGCGTAGCTTTTTATCCACAGAGACAACTCGAAACTTAACTGGAAAGAAAGAAAGTTTCTAGTGAGGTCCAGAAACCGGGATGTTTTCACTGGCATGCCCAGGAGGACATCCCAGTTTCCTAGCTCAACATGGAGCCTTGTACCTGACTGTCCTGGCTTGTACATGGGTTTGTCTGTCTGGACAAAGATGATGCTTTCTCTGTTCTTCACCAGCACGGCTTTCTTTTTCTTGAATTCATGAGTTGGTCCTTTTATGTGAACAGAGAGAACTGCTACCAAGTCAGAAGGTAAGAATCTGGGAATCTGAGAACAAGATCACAAGAGCCATCACCATCTCACCTGCTCTGGAGAACTCTGCTTTCTTTCTTTACCTTCTTTCCTTCCTTATCACAGGAAGGAGGTGGGATCCATGGAATATTATTTAAGTATAACATAGAATGAAGTATATCAAAAAAAGTTTTAAAAAAGAAACACAATGTTTCATGTGAGTCAACTGTGGCAATGAAAACAAGATCATTTTTGTAGAATAAGTATAATCTTGACTAAAAATTAGATCTAACCCCCAAACTGTCAGAGAATGAAAAATAATATGGTAATGGCAGTAAAATTGTGTCTTTGGGGGAGAGCCAAAAGAAGAAACCAGACATTTACTCAGGATATGTTATATTCAGCAGAAGTGGTCCTTGTTAGCTCTGGCATTATTTCACTAGTAGAAAATACTACGAAGCATCAATCCTGCTTTCTCTCCTGCTTTCTCAGCATTGGAAGGATTTTCGTGGGATTCCAATGAGAAATTAGCATATTCATACATATTGGCACTCCTCATTTTGTGGTGGAATAATCTATGTTATTCTTCATTGGATGCTCTCTCTAGGGTTTTAAATCATTTTGAAGTAACAAGTGTGTTCCTATATTATTTTTTATGGATTAATTTTTCTAGAATAATTCGTATGGATTTCTATTAGAAATATACATATCTATGTGTATATTCACATATTGTATAAATATAGAAAACAACTTGGGACGGGTGTTTAGTACTCACAGTGAAGGAGACACAGTGGAACAAGTCCTTGTCAACCACGAGGTCGTTGAACAGGCTCTTGTTTCCCCAGCTAGACTGCAAAGAGGCCCTCACAGTCACTGTCTCATTCAGGTGATGCAGATGGAGACAGCTTTGCTCCGGGGTCTCAGTATGGAGCTGGGAAGGGACCAGCACCATATACTGCCTGGAAAGGAAGAAGTTCAGGTCAGCTGACAGATATCAACGTCCTGGCTGTGAGTTCATCACAGTAGACGCTACCATCGTTATTTCTACAGCCTGAGAGGGCAGGTTGGCAACACGACAGAGGAGAGCAGCAAGAAAGTCACCCCATGTTGGTGTACCGGTCAGAAGTCGGCTTAGGCAGCGGCCTCGCTCAAGGCAGGTTCAATGGCATGTGAAACTCCCACTAACCAGCAAGCATTCAAGTTCCTGGTTTGTTTATTAAGGAAAATATGGAAGAAATATTCTTCATATAAAAATAAATGAGGGCTATCCTCAGTTACCAGTATTAATTCTTGAAATATAACCCAGCCCCCTACTCTTTATTTTCGTATTCTTCCATCCCGAGTTCGGAATTCAGAGTTACATAATTCACCCCCCCCCCACCTCCCACCCTGGTTCAAAGGTTGTTTGCAGCACAATCATTCTCTAAACTTTCTTGGCATTAGAGAGATTTGGTTCCTAGGGGACCCCAAATCCAACCTATCATTGCTATATCAAAGGTTACAAATTGTCAACAGATTGTTTTTATTTTTGCATTTTTAAACATCTTGTTTTCTGATCACAGAGAATAGAAAAGTCATGCAATAACACAGCTCCTGATAATGTGGTTAATTTTTGACACCCATAATAAACTGTACTAGTACTTTGTGAGTTTCTATGTATTTGATCCTAATAAGAGTTTCTTTTAGGACTAGAGAGGTGGCTTAGTGGTTAAGAGCACTGATTGCTCTTGCAGAGGACCAAGATTCTGTTTCCAGCACTGGCATGGCAGCTAACAGCTGTTCATAATTTCAGTTCCAGAGGATCCTTCGCCCCCTTCTGACCTCTGCAAGCATTGTGTGACATGTAAGCTCTCAGATGCAGTCAAACAGAAAAAACAAATAAAAAAAAATTTTTTTAAAGACTTTTGTTTTAGGACATATAGCAGTCTGGTATGCCCAACGTCTTACCTGTCCTAAAGTTGAGTTGTAATGTAAGCCTATATTACAACGAAGATGATCAACAATTTAAATATTTTCAGACTTACTAGCTTAAATGGTTTCATCACATAAGAATGACTTTTGACTATTGTAATTCTAGATACTGTGACAGACTAATAAGAGAAATGCTATTCTTAATTGCTCACAGCCAAGTTTCATCCCAATAATTGCTTTAAGGTTGAAAAACATTGCATAGAAAAATATAATACTAAAGTTGGAAAATATATACAATTATTATTGTCAATTAAAAAGAAAGAACAATTTTACAAAGATTGGGAGTGTGTGTGATGGAAATGGATGTTTTTTGACTCAGGAAAGAAAAGACAATGTAAAGAGAGCCCTGGTGGTACTCACGGTTCTCCATGGAGGGAGGTAACAGCGGGTAGGAGGGCAAGAAGAACTGGAACAAGACATGGAAGAGCATGTCTGCCCTTCCACATGCTGTGGGGAGAAAGAAGAAGAAGGCAGGGAATATGGTGTCCTCCTCCTTACACTCTGCTTCCAGAAATTCCCCCAACCCACAGGTCTTATATATGAGAGTGCTCTGTGCAAACAAGAAGCTCTGCCCGAGGTGTCCAAACACACTGTAGAATTTGGCAAGAGTTCCCTCTTGGTGTCATTGCTCTCAGTGGTGGCCTCATTTCAAACCACATAATTACAACAGACTCGGAAAAGGTACCAGAGTAGCTGTGAGTGGCGTTGGTAAGGGATCAAGGGCATGGAAACCCGTAGCACACACAGAACCTTAGCTTGGACTAGAACGGACCTAGTATCTCAATCTTAGTATTATTGACTTTTGTACCCAGGTAAATCTTTGTGTTCATGACTGTGCTACGACTGTATGGTGTTTACCAGCCTCACTGTTTCTACCCACTAGAACCCAGTAGTACTCCCTGTGATATAACATCTTAATTTCTCTTTCCTTGTTTGAGTGTCAGTAGATTAGTCCATGTTGGAGATTTTTCAGTCCTCCTGTCTCTAACAATTCAAGTGTCTATTTTTAAGGGTCTTGTGTACAAACAGTAAAGTGGGCAGACTAAAAAACTAGGGCCAGCCGTGGTGGCACATGCCTTTAATCCCAGTACTTGGGAGGCAGAGGCAGGCTGATCTCTGTGCGTTCAAAGCTAGCCTGGTCTACATAGCGAGTTCTAGGACACCTGGGCCTACAGGGGGCCCCTTTTTAAAAAAAACCAAAAAAAAAAAAAAAAAGTCACTGTGCCTGCATATCCCTAGTTAGAACAGGGGGCCATAAACTTTCTCACTTAATGGCATATTTGAGGAATCATATTTCTTTCATGTACTAGTGAGCCCAGTTTAATTTTTGTGCCTAAAGTTGACTGGTTCAAATATTGGTCAATATTTGGGATTCATTTTAAATCTTTTGGTAGGATTTTAATGCATTGTGTTGGGGAGTACATTAACATTTTTCTTCCAGATCACGTGGACTGTTTGTTAATGCAAAGATTCTATGACATTGACCAGAGGTATAACATAAGCTAATAGCAATGATAAGGTACTAGGTACTAATTGAGGTGCTAGGTGGTAGGTAATAAAGAGAAACATGATAGGAGAGGGCCTGTGGGAAGTTAAAGGGATGGAAAAGAAAATAAAACTTGTGAACTTTATTGATTTACCTCTGAATACTCCACCCAACCTTTACTAGAAATATATTGCTGTCTCTTGAACTGATCCCTTTTTCTAAACTTCCATTGAAAAATAATTATACTAGCTGATCTTCTAAGCCATCAAATATTTATTGGGTTGTACCAAGATTCACACCCTGCTCTTCCTTTTGTGAACATGACAATGCGTACCATGGGAACTTTACATTTATATTAGAAGATGGTGGAAGTGGTAGGTGCAGACCCATGAGCGGATGGTGACTGTACAGTATAGTATTCTATGATGGGACATATGAGATGGCGTGTAACACAGGCTCAGAACTCACAAAAGACTCCTTGTAAGAAGTTAGAGCACAGTTGTGCTGAAGTGATTTACATGTTTTACAGTTGAAACAAAAAGTGAATGAAGGTCTGAGTCTGTGAAAAGGCATATGATAAACCCTGGAGACAAAAAAAATCTTGGCATGACTGAGAATGGGAAATACTTCATGGGAATAATGGTGACAAGACAAGCCCAAGCTTAACCATAAGAGGGCCTGTGAGAAGGAACTCAGAGCATACATTGAGAAGATTTAAATCAAGAAGGTATATAATGATCACACATGCAGTGGTTCGAGAGACGGGCTAGAAGTGCTGAGACCCCACTTGATGGCTCATCAGTTATCTAGGTATGTTCTGATGGCATCCCAAACTGTGATAAACATGTTGGGGATGGTGGGAAGGTAAAGGATTCACGATATAGTTAGAAGAAAAATCTGGATACCATCTGGTGAATCATTGGATGCTTAGGATATAAAGGGAGAGGAAAACTTTGTAATGCCTTGTAGATTTATTTTAGTGACTTGGGGTGTGTTTGCTGAGGGAAGGCACAGAATGTGTGTGCATGTGTTATGTGGTTTGGATGTAAGGAGACTATCAAATCTACTGTGGTAGTTAGCATTTAGTATCTGTAATAAAACACTGGAGAAAATCAACTTAGGAATAGGCAAAGTTTATTATGTGTCATGGTTCTAGAGTTTGCAGTCAGTGGCTGTTGGGTTTGTAATGGGACTACACAACATGCTGAAAGGCTTCAGTGAGGAAAAATTGCTCAGGTCATGGGGAGAGGGAGGGAAGGAAGGAGGAAAAGAGGGGGGAGGGAAAGGGAGAGAGGAAGAGAGAGAGAGAGAGAGAGAGAGAGAGAGAGAGAGAGAGAGAGAATCGATATCCTGTTAAAGAACATGGCCTTTGGTCACCTCAATTCCTTCCACTAGGTTCCACGACCCAGAAGGTCCACCATCTTTTATTTGCACCATGGGCTGATAACAGACTCTGAATACATGTAATTTGGGAGACATTTTAGTTCAAAACCATCACACTTACCATTGTGTTTTCCATGGTTTCACCAAAATAAAGGGTATATGAAAAAAAGGTATTGGAAATCTACAATCCTGCAACTCAAATAAAATTATAATGATTAGGACCAGTAGGACACATTTGATGTGAAAGGACGTGTAGAAGAGATCACCTGGAGTCAGAGGGTTAAACAGGGATGAGGGCAGGGAAGGAGGAAGGAGGGGTAAAAAGTAGGCTAACCAAACCTAAGGGTGAATGAAGAAGTCTTATAAACCCTACCAGTTTGTAAGATTTTAAAAATACATTTTAATCTATTTTATTCATTATTTTTATTTTATGTGTATGAGTATATTGCCTGCATGTGTTGTGCAATGCTCACAGAGGTCAGAAGAGGACATCGGATCCCCTGGAACTGGTGTTACAGATAGTTGTTAGCTGCCATGTGGGTGCTGGGAATCAAACTTGGTCCTCTGCAAGAGCAGTCAGTGCTCTTAACTGCTGAACCATCTCTCCAGCCCCTTAAAATATAATTTTAGAAGGAGTTTAAAGATAGGTACTCTACTTGGCGGGGGCGGGGGGGACAATGCTGTTCCCAGAAGACATGAAATATTATATTAAAATTTCAGTGCCACACATGAGTTATTTCCCTAGGACTTATTGGTGAGGGAGACCCCAGAGACACTCCAAACAATATAGACTATTACCCGTGCCCTTAGTTACCCACCATAAACTACAACCATGTTGCTGAAGATATCACACTTTAGTTTCAGGACATAGAGATATAGTTCTTGAACTGACCAGGAAATTTTCTCTCTGATAGATAGCTTTCTTAGTGCTTGATGGAGCTATGCAAGCTGTTGCAGGAGACAATTGTCTGATCCAGCTCTGGGCCTTTCTTGTTAAAATAACAACTTGCAAGGCAAGATGTGCTCATTGGCACAATAATGGCATGATGGTTATGAAGACAGCCAACTGCTTTCTGAATGGATTTGAAGCCTGTTCCACTGGAGGAAATTAATTTCTGATACTGTAAACCTGATGAATAGCCCATGGTTGGGGAGATTATAGGGCTTAGGGTACAACTTACTATTGTTATTTCAATAAATGGTCATGTTGGTAAACTGCCTTCTAAGTATTTACCCATAATCTGGGCATCTCTCAACCTGGGTGAGAGAAGATTTTGCAGTGGTTATCAGTCAATGTAGAGACTCACGACTAAGAATGAATGATTGTAAATGTTTGGCTCTAAATTGGATGCCTTTAATACACACACAGATTCCCCCCCTCCTCCGCCACACACACATACTACTACCATCACCACCAAGTCTTAGGAAACACTGTGGAAGAGGGTGCAGAAATAACCTAAGAGTTGGAGGAAGGGAAGAAATGCTACAGTATGCTCTCTTCCAGACATGGCATGCTTGTTGCATTCATGAATTCACAGTAGATTTGGTTACTTGCATAAACCTTCCAAGAACAAGCTAGTCAACATTCCAGAATGAGCTGGGGAGACTGTCATGAGACCAGACTTCTAACTAAGGAGCTATTGGCAGTTGATAGTTGCTGAGGAAGAAAGGCTTGTTATGCTTTAGGGTTGTGGCCACTGATAGGCTGTCCATATGCTAGTAGATGGCCCCATACCCTAGTAGATGGCCCTATACTCATGTACATATGCACAGCACTAATTTGATTTAGTGGATTGTTTAAAAGAAACATGAAGTTGGAAGGGGGAACATGGCTAAGATCTGGAAGGGGGGGTTGTAGTGCAGAAATGAGGGTCTACATAACACAGTCATATTTCATTGCATAAATATGTGAAATTGTCAATGAATAACTAAAAAAGACAAATCTCAATAGTTACATCATTTACTATATATGGATTCTGTGAACTTTATAAGAAGAAATCTATGGAATATGCTTCTCAAACTGAAGGAACTCTGCACCAGTCTTAAAGATTACTCCGATGCTGCATGCCAAAAATAGAGCTCATAGATTCTAGATGCCAGTAAAGATGACTACCAATTGATCTTAAAATTACCTTGTTATAAAGCCCAGGCAGCTCCAGTCATGATCTTCCTGCCTCTGATTCCTGATGGCTAGAATTATTACTGTTTACCACCATGTCCATCCCTAGAAGCAGCATTCTTTACTAAAGTATCTGAGTCTTAGAAGCTTGTGTTTTAAGAAGGCAGTTTTCACTATGACTTCTTAATTGTCTACTGAAATTCCTGACTGAAGTCAGTGCCCTTAATTCTTGGCCTTTTAAACTTTCTTTGCAAACTTACCCTTAAAATAAATTATTTAATCATCTTACATTCTCATTAGTTGTTTTAATTTCCCAGAAGGGATCAAATGGAACATTTGACATACACACAGTCCCCTAAAATGTCATGAAATCAAAATACTTTAGGCTAATTGGGGCTGTAGAGAGGGTTCATTGTTTAAGAGCACTGACCACTCTTGCAGAGAACTCAATTTCCAGGATCCACATGGCAGCTGACAATTGTCCATAACACCAGAAGAATCCAATACCCTCTTTTGACCTCCACC